TGCTCTTACGGCTGACACCACCGTCATGGTCGCGTCCTAATCCACGGCTGCTACTGTTTTGGCAGCTGTGGCTACCCTGGAAACTTATGCCAGGAAAGCTGCGCCTGATGCCGTTACTCCCTGACCTTTTGGTCCACGTCGCTCCTTCCGTTTTTCTTTGATATTATTAAAATATATATTAATCATTTTTAAAATTATTAAATTATATTGTTTTTGTTTAGCGTATTTTGTAGTCAATCAGTTTCGATAAGCAGGAAACGGGTTTTTGGCCGCATCGATTATTTTTGGCGCAAGTGTCTGCAAGAAAGCTCGTTTCCTGCTGTTCAGCTTTTGTCCGATACAAAACACAAAAATCCCATTTCACTAATCAGTGTTTAAATACGGTGGAAATGACTAAATGAAATTATCTGCCAGAAAGGTATGGGATTTAGTTCATAAATATAAATTCAACGGAAGAAATCTCAAAACAAATACGCGAAAAGTTGCCACAGCATAAATGTGGATGACAGCTTCGAAAGCATCAACATTTGACATCGAACTGCTCGGCTCCGCTCGTAATTAGCTGCAGTTAGTGGTGAAAAATATAACTCTCTCACTTGCTAGCGCATTGATATTGGTGTAAGTGCATGCATGTGTGTGTCGCTGTTCGTGGCGAGTTGACGGTTTCTATCGTTCAGTTCCAGGGATGCCAACCCTCCGTCTTTTTACGTAGATTCTAAAGGAGATCTACGTGTCTACGTTTATTTTGCAATTTTTGTTAAAAAGGACGTAGTTCTAGTCTACCTAAAGACTAACTAAGTTACGACGATTTTTAGCGTTGTATTTGTTAAAAAGAGAAATTTAACCCAGATGTTTCCGCTCTGGACGGCTTACTCATAGCAGTGCCAATGTTGAGCGACTATTTTCTGAAATAAATATAATCAAAACTGAAAATACATATAAAACACTACAAAAGGTTTACTTCACACAAAAAGTGGGTTAAAGGAAAACGTAGAGCCTTTTAAATACCACCTAAATAATAATAAAATAATAATAATAATAACAATATGTATAAAATTGTCTAAAACTCGTACACTAATGTGTATAAACAATTTGAGCAATGTATTTTTCTTTTTAAAACGTCAACAGAAATTAATAACCATGAAGTACAAAGACAGTTAATTTACAAATTTATTGTTTTATTCATTTTTTTATTGTTTTTAAATTTAAAAAATTTACGTAGATCTATCGTATTTCATTGTGCTACGAAAAATTTAATGTTCAAATTTTGAGTTGGCAACCCTGTTCAGTTCTATATGCATGTTTGCGTACATGTTTCTATTGGTGACGCTTAGCAGAGCACAGCTGAATTCACAGTTAGTTTGTCAAACAACTCTTTACACACTGAAAAAAAAAAGAAATGACTTTAGATGCAAATTTAAAAGGCCTTTTAATTCAACTTAATGACATTTTTTTAATGCTGTTGTTTAATAATATTTATTGAGTTAAATTATAAAAATAATAGCAAAATAAATAGCAAAACGAAATATGTATAACAAAATAAGCAAAAAAACTAAAATTACTTTTTCTTTTAAACTGTCATGAAGCTGTTTACATATTACGTTTTGCAATTCTGCTTTGATCTAATTCTCCGAAAAAACTGTGCTTTACTGTTATGTATGCTTTTTGCGTCTCTTAATACATGTATTTTTTTCATTTTTTTTTCAATTTATACAGTGGCTCCAACGCCAAATCGGACAAGACTATTTATTTTTTTCAAAGTGTTTTTTCTTATGCAGTAAGTTAATTTTTTATCGTTTTCACATTTTTGCTTAAATCTATTATGTATAAGCCTCCCAAAACAAAAAAAAAATTTGTAATTTCAAACGGCAACATTTTTTTTATTTTAAAAAACGAGCAACAAGTCCGATTTTGAGCTTCAACGCCAAATCGGACAAAAGAAAACTTAAATGAAAAATAACAGAAAAACGTAATATTTAATATTTTGTTGCAAAACCTTTGTTTGCGACAACAGCCTGCAAGCGATTGGGAACTGATTTGACCAACTTTTTGCAGATCTCTGGCTCTATGGAGTTCCAAGCTGCAAGTAATCCCTTTTTTAATTGGTCAACTGTGTTATACCGGTTTTGGTACACTTTCCTCGCCAAAATTTCCCACAGATTCTCTATGACGTTTATATCCGGGCTCTGGGCAGGTGTTTGGATCAGTTTAGGACAGTTATAGATTAGCCAGAGCCTAGCTAGCATTGAAGTGTGCTTGGGGTCGTTGTCTTGATAAAGAGCAAAGTCTTCAAGTATCCCCAATTTCTCCGCACTCTGCTTAACATTTTTCTTCAAAATGTCAAGGTAGCCAAATTTATCCAATATGCCATCAATAAAATGCAAATGGCCAACTCCCGCACTCGACATACAGCCCCAAACCATGACTGAACCTCCTCCATGCTTAACAGTGCCTATGGTGTTCTTGGGCTCAAACTCAGTATTTGGTTTACGCCACACATACACCTTACCATCGGACCCATGCAAATTAAATTTACTTTCATCAGTAAACAACACCTTTAAATAAGATAAGTGTATGATGATATGATGATTATAATATGATATACAACCAACTAACATGATTCCAAAAGTCATCGGTTTTTAGCAAGTACTCTTTTGCGAATTTTATTCTAAACGCCTTGTTCTTAGGGCTAATATACGGCTTTTTTTGTGCAACTCGGCCATGCAAATCATACCGATGCAAAGTATTGCGCACTGTGTTGTCACACACATCCTTTGCAAAGTTTGTTTTTATTGACATCCCGAGTTCCTTTGCGGTTTTAAAGGGATCAACCTTAATTTCCCTTATAATTGACCGTTCTTCTCTTGAGTTTAATCGCTTTCTTTTTCCCTCCTGGCTTTTGTTAATTAATCTTCCATCCTCCCGAAACCTTTTTATGATATCATGAACGGTAGATTTGCTTCTTCCGACCAGATCTGCTATTTCCCTAACGGGTTTGCCATCAAAATGCAGTTTTAATATTATTTGGCGTGCCTCAACACCAGTTTGCTTCCCACGTGGAGCCATTTCGCAAAAATAATTTGTGTTACTGTCACTTATGAGCTTGAGAACATAACGAAATGCAATAAGCAAAACAAATAACGGATCTTTTTCTTGCAGTTTTCTTTTGTCCGATTTGGCGTTGAAGCTCAAAATCGGACTTGTTGCTCGTTTTTTAAAATAAAAAAAATGTTGCCGTTTGAAATTACAATTTTTTTTTTCTGTTTTGGGAGGCTTATACATTATATATTTAATAAAAAATGTGAAAACGATAAAAAATTAACTTAGTGTTAAAGAAAAACAACTGTGAAAAAAATAAATAGTCTTGTCCGATTTGGCGTTGGAGCCACTGTATGTGAAATTATGTTGATTACTTAACTAGAACTGAACTACTTTTTAAGAAATGCGCGAAAGGAAACGTAGCTTTCATTGGTAAATGTAGAAAAGCGCTTTAATATTGCTGTGAACATGTTTAGTCAGTCGGCAGAATATTGAATGGACGAAACCAAAGTAATGCTGTACTGTATCAATGGTTAATCTATATAATGGCGCAAGACATTAACTGTATTCGAAAGCAACAACTTTTTAGTGTAAAATTTGAAAAGATTTCGGTTATGGTTTGAGGGTCCATCTCTAGCAGAGCAGTTGGCATATATAGAGGACACCATGAATGCTTCAACATTTTAGAGATGAATTTTTTAATAGAAATAAGCCAAATTTTAAATTCTATCAAGACTTGGCTCCTCTATAATTGTGGCAAGATTCTTGAGATATCACCGCAAAGTCCCGATCTGTACCCCATTAAACATGAGTAGGCTTACCTAAAGAAAAGACGGAGAAATCGGGATTCAACACACAGCTGAAAGCTGCTAGCCTAGAGGAGTGGCAAAAGATCCCTGTTGAATACCTAATAAAGTTGGCCCATTCCATGAAACTACGCGTCCAGCACGTGTTAATTAGTGTAATAAAATTAGTTTATATCTATTTTAAGTTACTAACGATCCATATGTGTCTATGAATATGTATATGTTGGGTATACTGTTAGATTAATCATCTCCATAAAGCGAATGAATTTGAAAATTGGTTAATTTTACAATAATTTTTGTTCATCTAAAAGTGCAATAATAAATGATAATACCAATTTCTGTTCCTTCATTATAAGCTGCACGCTCCCTTGCCGTATGATACACACTGCTTAGTAAATAACTTATCACATCTCGCTTTTCATTATAATTGGTTTTAATGGCAAGTAGTCAATGTATCTAAGTATATTACTGTAATCCATACGAAGAATAAGTTGATCATTATTTTTCGCATTTCCTCATTATCGATTATAATTGATAATTTCACTTGTTAAATAACTTAGAAGCTTTCATATTTCGGATTTTGTATACTATTTCTCCTACCAATCGTTAACATTGTATTCTTTCTAAGCTTTATATCAGGAAGATAATTAGTGCCAACGTTATGCAATAAATCATTTCCCACTGTGTAGCCCGTCATGCAGTGATAATGGAATAATACTGCAGCACTATTCAATATACATATTTAAATTATAAAACACAGTGGAGTTCCGATAATTCGAAATTGCAAGGAATTAGCACTGTTACAAATTCCACGTTGCAGATTTTCAATAAACGAGGTTTAAAAAATGTTTGAATTGAAGGGTTTATACATTTCATGATATTTAATATTATTTCAAAAAACATTCATTTGTGCGACTCATTTCGTATTAGAAATTTGGAAAGGCAAATCAAACAGTTGAAGCCTAGAGCTCGTACTGTGCGGTTGCCTTTGTTTGCTCCGAAAAATTCCAAAAACGAATATTAAATTTCATCAAATTTAACCTTTCAACAAAACAAACAAATAAACCAGTACTAAGTACTTTTTTTTCCGATTTCGGTGTCTTTTTTAGGCCTACCTCGTTATTTTGTTAAGTTTTTCGTGTTTTAATTTGCGGTTGCTTTGTTTCTTTTTTTTATTTCAAACAGTGAACCTAAGGCTACTTAATTTTTATTTTTTGACTGAATCATAATAGGCTAAAGCTAGTTCTCCTGTCCCTAACAGCTAATCGTTCGGTAAAAGAAAGTCTTGGGGGAAAAGCTTCACGCTTAAAATAATAATTAACGCCAACAAAAATCTGAACAAATGGAAATCAATTGCCTGCTGAAACTTCCCTAGTAACAGGCCAATCAAACGGATCTTAGTCTTTTGAATAAGAATTCACAATAATTGGTGCAGGATGAAATAAGGTCAAAAATAATCTGTGGATGCACTGCTATAATTTAAATTCTTTCAAAAGATGCCATCAGCATTCTACTATTATCAAATACTTCATCAGGATGTCAGTGCTGAAAATGTAAATCGTACATCAGACAAGCCTGTTGATATTAACTTCCTGTGGAAGTGATATTCCTAATCCATCGGCATTCATCATATGTATCATATACCAAATTTCATGCGACGATTTTTTGACCTAAAAAGCAATTGCAACAGGATTATCAAGAGTTATTTCTTGTGAAAGCTCTAAAGAATCTTCTACTTTAATCGGGCTATGCCGCAGCACGTTTTTAATCTTCAATGTGTATTCCAAGAGCATATATATAATCCAAACAGCCTTGCTGCGCTAAATGTGGCGAAGATAACTTGTCAATCTGCAGTTTACCAATCCTAAACACTATTAACTTACAGATCATCACTTGGACCGAATATATATATAATTAAATACCCACAAAAATATGGTCCAGTGTATACCATTACCATTCTGCAATTATAATTCTTCATCAGGATACCATTGTCAAATGTGTATGAATAATAATTCAAAGACATTTTTAAATGCTTCAAGATCTTACTCATACCAAAATTTAAGTAACATTTCCCTTGATCATAGATGAAAACATGAACAAAGCCACAAAACTGTGGTCCATTGCCTTCCGTTACTATTCTGCATTTGATGAAATTGTTCATTAGGATACCAGTACCGAAAATGTGTTCTTCCTCTAACAATATTCAAAAAAATTTTTGAATGCTTCATCGACAAGATCTTCTAATCCCAAAATTTAAGCAGCATTTCTCTAGATCATAGAGAAGTAAAATTCCCCTGAAGAAATAACATAAAAAATACTAAAGCAATGCAATGACTTTCATGCGGCGATTTTTTTTCACTGTGTATTCAATTAGTAAAATATATATATATATTCGTCGTAGAAATCAAGAATCTTAAAATGCCATAAATGTACTACAAGTATCACCTATAGTCAATCTGCATTCAATCCTCAACACTTCAAAACATACAGATATTTTCACTTGGACCGAATCTATATATAAATTAAAGAACTACAAAAATGCGGTCCATCGTCTCCATTACTATTCTGCATTTCTGAAATTCTTCATTAGGACACCAGTACTGAAAATGGATACTAACGATATTCAAGGACATTTTTAAATTCTTCATAAACAAGCATTTAGACATCTCAAGATTTAAGTAATATTTTCATATTTCATAGACCATAGACGAAATTATGAAGAAACCTTTTGGCACTGTTAATAAACCTCTTCCCAGCTCTTCTTACCTCTAATCAGCTTCCCCTAGAAGTAACATTCCTTATCACCAGCATCCATCATAACATTCCGAACGTAAACGGGAACATTCAGAACGTAAATTTCAGAATGATGCAAGGACACTTTAATCATAACAAATTAAAACCATGCAGTGATTTCTGACCTATAAAAGGATCCTTAGCTGGCTAGTTATAAGATTATAAATGGAATTTTGGGTAATTGCAGAAGTATGGAGGTTTCAGAATCGTCATCCGAGTTATTTGCTGTGAAAGTCGTAATGAAAATAAGAATAATGCCTTACTCAGCCGATGCCAAGCTTAAAGTTTTTGTGTATTCCAACATCAAAGATATATACATAAGCAAATCATAATTAAGCCTGCACTAAACATATGATCTTACAGTGCTACAAATGTATTGAATACTGCTACAACCAGCCTCGCCGCGGATCACATCATCTAGTTGCAGTTAACCACTCCTCAAACTAATCCTAAAACTTCTAACTTACAGATCTATGATAAATATCTTACAGGGTTACAAATCACATCATTCATTTTAATCTCTGAAATCTAATATTTAAAAATTCCAAGCAGATCGGACCTCCAGTGCCAGAATCGCAATCCTAATACTCTTTCCATTCTACTGGTTCTACTTTTTATTTGCTGCTCTTCAAGTCGAAATATTTTTTTCGTTGGGGTAGTAGTCTTTCCGGATCGTTACTTTTTACACTGGCTGTATTTAATCATTCTACGATATTTGTTTGCAGATAATGTGAATCTTCCTATTACTATCTAGCGTATTCTAATGTACTTGATTTACTCAATATCAAATTTCAAGCATTATGAATCAAACCAAAAGTTTTCTGGTCGATGTATAATCAATCGTATTGCAATCCAAATTGATCCCCGGTTATATTAATTTTTTTCTGTACCTTCCTTTGTGCATACCCGTTTATTCTTTGCATAGCTAGTTTTTGGCTGTGTTTAACTAATTTTACCTTAGAATTCTTAAATATTTTATAAAATCTTTGATTTCAGATCAACTTTGAAAAATCACTCAGGGTACACACCTCCATCGGGTTGGTGTTTTAATGTTTTCCTTTTTTATTAGGCCGTCGTTGCTCTTTTGCCGTGTACGGATTAGCAATTCATACTTGCGGCCTACGGCTTCAACCAACGAATTACGGTTTCCGACTGTAGCGATAAAAATAAGCCGTGGTACTAAGAATATTTATGACGAAGCTTGTAGTGCTCCAGAGAAAACTCTAAGGCCCCCTTAATATTGATCCCAGTGTGAGGTTAAGGAATCCTCAGTCCATCGGAGGTATAAAGTTAAGCTGAAAGTCTGACGGCCGTATCAGGGTCAGTTGTCGAATTGGGAGCTTCCTAAAACTGAAGCTACTTAAGTGATATAACATTCAATATGAAAGCCAAGGAGGATACTTCAAGAAAGCCAAGGAGCTATTGCAACCCCAGTCAGATATAATTTGGAATGGATCGAATGAACTCTCAATTTGCTGCCATGACTTGCTTGGGTCACTTATAGTGAAGCAATGCAAATAAATCGCAATATAATCATATGGAAAATAAATGGCCTGTGGAAGGAGTCGGTCTGATGTTGAGCATTTTCTCAAAGCGGAATACGTCGACAGGCTTCGCGCATCGAAGTATCTGCATCAGCGGATTCGATGTCATAACTGTTAGTCATCCTTTCAGCACAGCTCATTGCAGATTGACAATCATTCCGAGCTCCCTGCGTATCAGAAGCCCAGCGCGCTAAAGTAAGTCTTCTCAGGCTGACTATTGACCACGATAAACTAGGACATAAATTACTAGATAGCTTTGCCCCTAGGTTTATTGTTGGGTTTCCCAAATAAATCGACTCACTCCACACGGCAGCCAGCACCAATTCGGCGAAGAACATATTATTCAGGCGCAAGTCATCATATGGACCGTTGCCCCCGATGATATTGCACTACGAAAATTTGGACTATGTTGCATACGATGGAATCGATCACCAATGAAGGTCTATCGCCAAATATGATGGAGCTTGTCCTTAACATCTCCCTTGGAAACATGCAACCAATCTTAACTCGCAGCGTCCGATTTGCCTAGGCCTAGGCAAAGAGTCCGACCGGTCTGACCGACTTTGGCTATGATACACCTGGACAACCATAGGGTGCTACAAAAATGCTGTATGCTTTTGAAGGGAAGTGCTGCACTGCAAACCTTTTTAATGTTATGCGAGTCTTCGACAGTCTGGCGCAGTTATCTGCTCTATTCTCTTAAAATACATTGCTATAAATATAACCTTTATGTGAAATGCTGAGACGTTAGATCTGATGTACGGAAGCGTATTAGGCCCAGGACTCTGGACGCTCCCATCAATGCAGGAACATCTGGCCCCGGGAAATCCAATCAAACCAACACGTTAAGAGGACTCGAAGGAACTATTTCTGGCATCGACGGCCAAATACTTGGCGCTTGGCAGATGACTAACCTGTGCACCTGGCTTGTCGGAACAGGATCTACCTTACGGCTGCGCGTCTACAAACCATAATGATTACAGCAATGCCAGCCATTTCAAGTAACGTTTTTCTATGATTTATATGCCAAGACCCTAGGGTCTTATACATAAGATATATCAAATTATAAAATTGTACTTCTAAGAATGTGGAACTTACAGTGTTACCCGATTTATCACGCTCCCAATGGGCACAGGTATATGTCATATCCTTGATCTTCAAATTGTTAACGCGAGTGTTCAAAATTTCTTGATTTGATGCGCCCTTAAGCGAGGGCGAGTTCAAAATTTTTAATCTCTAGCTTCAACAGCGGCAAAATGGTTTGCAGGGAGGTCATTGCACAAAACCAATATACCTTTAGGGAATATGAACAATCGCAATGATTATAATTATCGGTCGGTTAATTTATATTCGAGTAAAATATGCGACTAAGATGCAGCAGAGTAATCTTGCCTTAATGCGGACTTCCTATTAGCTTCAACTTTTTCGTGTGTATAGCGTTGATTTATGTTGAGATCATAGTACACACATACAATGGACCCATCGTAACACAGTATCATAACTAATCGATAACACACCGATAACACAATCGCTGAACTGATGGGATCTATAGACGACGATGGCTCAATCTAATGGATTTTTATGAAAATCTAGATACAATTTTTAAGTGATAAGCTTCCATCAGGTAAGGGTTTCGATACTGTTTGACAGTACTAATTTGTGGTTTTCGAATGCGCACGCAATGAGATCATCCCATGGCATACAACCCTGCTACTACATATTATCAACGAGTATAACAAATGGGAGATCATGGGTAGATTATTAGGACGTTACGAAAACACGGAAGTGAACATTGGCATATTTATAACAAAGATCAGATGGAAAGTTCCTCGTTTGAAGCACATTAGAATATCTAATATCCTATGTAATATTCAATCTGAAACATCTGTTCTGCAAATTCCGGACGGGTCTAAATAAAGGGAACAAGTAATCCGCCTGTTTGCTAACGATAGCATTGCAAACATTCCTGACGTTTTATATCACAGTCGTAAACGAATGTGTAAATTTTCTTTAAGGTATTTGAAATACAACGAAAAATAAATTAATTATTGATAGAACAATACCTCAATGCAACAGGTGCATATGGACAATTGGACATGGACATCAACATAAACAGGCGACTGTTTTTTGTCATCAGGCCACATTCGCGAAAATTGCAAGAAAGACGTCACCTATCCTCATCACCGCCAAGGACATTATTGTAACAAACATCCCTCACAAGACTTTACCTCAGCCAAAAACTAACAAGCCCAATAAAACACTAGTTAACACTACAACTTTACTTACTGAAGATGACACCAAAGACATAAACTTGCAAATAAACACCAAGATACAAATAAAATAGGTGAAGGAAATGTTGCACTCATTATTATTTATTAATAACTAATATCTCAAATTTCACTCTTTTAATTTCGTGTATACAATTTTAGTAACTATTGGAAGATTTAAATAGTAGCAGCAGGAGCTTACATCTGGCTTCTTCAGCGGACCTTAATTCATAACTGCAGAGGTCTGAAGCTCCGAGCACCCTCATTGAGGCTGCTTGTGTTCGTGGGGCAAAGTGACGGCATCCTCATGAAATATATTCTAACGAAGCTCCGTCTTACCCATCTGAGATGAGTCTAACCAAAAGCCGTGCACTTCGGAAATACTCCAATCAATATTATAATATAGGGCAAACTTGAAGAACAGACCACCTACCAAATTAAGCGAATAAAACAAATATTTAGCAAGAGACAAATCAGAATTTTAAGTCTTATTTAATAAAAAAAAAATTTATTTCACAAAAACTTTCTCAATGCGTTGATTATTTGCGAGCTACACCTAGAACCATAAAACATGTTTTTGGTTCCAATAAAATCTTTTACTGGAGTAAAACTAAACTTCTTAATAATATTCTTGAAAACTCAATTTAATTTAATGTTTTATACTTTGTTGAATAGACTTTACTGTATCCGTTTTGATTCGGATTGTCTTCGATAGAACGAGTTTTTAATATAAATTTTATTCATTTTTGTCCACTTGTCTTTGAAAATCTTAGTAAGTTTAAATGTTGCTTCCAGATCAAAAATACTCGATTGGATTTGAAGTTGGTATATTTCATTATCTTGGAAATAATACCTTGATCAAACAAATATCTCAACACTTAAAGCCAAATTAATTTTTTAAAGATTTAATTATATTTTTATTATTCAATTATTGAATTTCCAACGCCACCAGAAGCCATACCATAACGACACTACCCCCATGCACATACAAATTTCCATTTGTATATATAAATGTATATTTGTATACATTTCTGTATATCATACGTGGTGCGAGTTTTTTTTATTATTTTTCCCTTTTCCATTTTACCGATCATAATTGATTATTTCACTTGGTTCTTGATCCACAACTTACAGAATCTCCAGTCGGAGTCACATCATTCGCTTCACTTTTTAATTTATTTTTTAATTGGTTCTTAGACATTATAATTTTCATTATAAATTTCACCTACAGTTATACAATATTATAAGCTAAAAACGAGCATCAAACCCATATTATTAATATCTACAAAATCTAACGAATACCTACATATCCGTTATAGAATCAATTATATATAATATATGTAATACAACACTATATGATATAATATATTCAATGATACTTAATTACATATAAAACGTGTTAAGTTTTTATCACACAACTCAGATTTATAAATATGTTATATATGGTATCTGTACCTTCTCGAAATAGACACGGCATAATTTACATCATGATTAGGTCTCTGTCGCTGCGCCTCGCAGAAAGATAGAAGTATCTCAGCAATCCGTCCACTCAAGCCGCTGACAGAAATACTGTTAAGTAAGATTAAGATTTCTATCCTGATTATTCTGACCGTGCTGTAGTTATATCAACTGTGTCTAGACGAAACGCAGACATTCAATCTCAATATTCAATGTCCGTTTCCTAAAACACTTATGTATCAGACGCCGTGTGACACCAAGGCTATAGATAAAACATGTAAGTTTTAAATGAAAGGAACGACGATCGATGAAACAAGAAATTGTAGCTCATACACGTTTACTGTTACTTATATTTTTTGAATAACATCTTTAATATGGAATATAGTACATTGATTTCCTGCATCTACAGCCTGTCCACTTCTCCTATTACTTCGAAGCAGATGCTGGTGTCCCGTGGCAAATTGTTCGAGTCATAGGCCTTCAGTAAGGTAGTAATCTTGTATCGACCGGATACGGGCACTCCAGTAAATTCCATTGTCACATTTATGTCAAACGGCTCGTGGATTATTTTAGTCTGTGTAAAGGCAGTAATTAGAATTAATTATATAAATAGAAGGTTTTCATATACATACTCCTGGGTAAAAAATTGTCTCTTTGATCTCTTCCACATTAATGATATGCCTTGTCCAAAATTTGTAAAAATGTTGATCCTTGTCAAACAGAGTTGGCCTGAAGTCTTGCATTTTCATGACGTATGGGGTCAGTTGCCAGCTTCCACGATCATACTTATTCGTTTTGAAAGTAGCCTAAGGTACAAGAGCATTAATTAATATATTCAGGCTAATGGTATAATATATTATACTTGAACACGATCGCCAGGTTGAATGTCCCAGATGAAAGTAACATTTCCCGAAACTAATATCACCTCATCATGCAGCGTAAAGCTTAGCTCTGATTTGTTAACGATTCCGTCGAAATTGAGAACATTGCTCTTTGAGTTTACGCAGTCCTCAAAGAAGTCCTCATTTTCAGCAACGAAAATATAGTTAAGAGCACTCGAGCAAATGGCGAATATAATCACCAAAAACGACACAAATAGAAACTCTATGTGGAGCCACATCGTTTGGGTGTTTGCGTCTCACTTACGAATCAGCTTCGCACTGATATTTTTGTCTTTCGGTTTGCGGTTTTTATAGCTTAAATTGATACTGCCGAGTGTACAATAATTATACACCTTTGGCATCAAGCATTAAACATATTATTTTTATCTAACAAATCTGACTCAGCTTATATTTCCGTTGTAATGCCAAATAACTGATCATATCATTCGATTGTGTGATTGTGCACAGAATATATTCTATATGCTTAGCACAGAATACATGAATACACGACATATAAGTTACATATTCTGTGTTAATCACACAATTCGCATCTTTGAAAAGTGTTTTTAGAATCTGTTCCGTATCAGATGCACAAAGTTGAGCACGTGGCTGCAGCTCGCTCGCTTCCTTTCACAGTGGAGAAATCCCATTTTGCCTGCATTTGATTTGCCTGCAAAGAGATGGACGGACAAGAATTCTTAGCTCAGCTCGATATCTTCCAGGAAAGCACGAATAGACAAATCCCTTGCTCAAATAGTAGCAAGACGTAATGTATTCCCCCGAGTCGTCCTACGATAAAATAGCCAAAACAGAGGGATGAGATTTGCGACGCTTGGAAAATGTTTGCCAAAATCCAACGATCGTTGGATGGACTTAGCTTCCCCAATCAAAAGAGCGTACAAAAAAGGCAAAAACGGGACATTCAGTGTATAATATATGTAACAGCCAGAAGGAGGCGTGCCACACTCCACAAAATATATATTTGTGATCAGAACGACGAACTGAGTCGATCTAGCCATGTCCCCTAGAGAATTGAAATTTTAAGTGAATTCCCGTGTCTAGCAAACGCAGTACGATTTTATCAATTTTTTTCGATAACTCATTAAATACTTGAGATTTAACTGAAATTTGAGAAAGTGCAGCTAAAACAAAAGTTATTCAGTTCTCATAGGAAATCCCATACTGCAGCCCAAGTTCAGTTTTAGGATTAAAATTTGCTAGATTAAAATGTCGTAAATACAAACTAAGAAGCATGCTTAACAACGCAGATGAGTCGGGGTTCCGGGTATCTAAGAGTCGGGCATCCCCTACTAGAGTGATCTTATTTCTAATATAAGGCAATGTCAATACGATGGTATTTGTTTGGCTACGTTATAAGTTATTTGTTAATAAGATAATATATTTTCAGCTCAATCTGTGCACATCAATGCTTATCTATAATAATCTATAATAAAAATTAAAGAATTGTTTTTGAACATGGGTATTTTGGCTTTTTAATCAGTTGAGAATGTTCTAAACTATTCAAAAGACCATAAATTCGATTTGGAATATAATTTTATAATTTTATAATTTTATAATTTTATAATTTTATAATTTTATAATTTTATAATTTTATAATTTTATAATTTTATAATTTTATAATTTTATAATTTTATAATTTTATAATTTTATAATTTTATAATTTTATAATTTTATTCAGAATAATTCAGAATAAATTACGACTATGAGTCTCATTTTCTTATCAGTCATATCATTCGATTCTGTATTTGGATTTGAATCTGACTAAAAAAGTCTCGCTTTGTTTTATCGCCATAAACTTTCGTATGAAGCGAAACGGGGAAAGGGTCGATTTGTTGGCTCCAATTTAACGTTCGCCAAAGGCGTTGTCAAAGGTAAAACTAAAAGCAATAAAATTGAAGTCGTTCCTTGTTTCATTTGCAGTTTATTGCCTAGCGGAACGACAAATATTGATTTGACGTGCACTGGGTCTTTGTTGCCGTGGCTGATCGTAATGGAGCCCGCATCTGGCTCACGCAGGGGAGGGGACTCGTTTGTCTGGCGGCTTAGTAATGAATTTTTAAGCTCTGACCAGCTCCAAAATTCAATTACTTGGATTTGCTTTATGTACGCGACTGGCATTTCATTCGCACTGGGGTCAAGCAGCAGCAGCCCGCAACGTCCCAATTTTTAGCTCAGGCCAAAGGTCTGCGCTCTCCACTACAATAATGAAAACGGACAAGTGAAAGTAAACGAGCTAAATTGAAAGGGCAGCAGTCAACAATAGCTGCCACAGAATTGTATTTCACACCTCCTTGCACATAATAATGTGATTCGTACATAGCTATTTTTTGTCAATATTAAAGCGAGACCACATTGAGCCCACCTCAACAAGTTCAGCCAATCACAATCCCAATCTGGCGTCACTCGTCGCTGAGAGTCATGCGATAGGGGGATACAGCACATAGGTGGAAGCATATCCAAAATGAAAACACACAATGTCTTAAATTCAAGTTTTGTCATCAGGTTCACATGCATGAAAAGGAAACGAATTTGATTAATTTGCAACTGACAATTTAATAATATATCAATAATTGTTGGCTACAAATGAGTGAACTAATTTTGGATACAGATAAGTTAAATAATGCATAATGAACAGATGCACTCAGCGTGGTATGGTCGTTGGCGAAAGTGGAGTGGCTAGAGAACAAACATATAGCTGCAGTTTAGAAACAATGAGTGCTGAATTTTAGTGTGTTTAACGTAAGTTTGATTTGCCTTTGCTTGGACCTCATTGGCCACAAAACAGAATAAATGTCTCTGCTAGCATACATGCCAGCGTAAATTTTGTGATGGCAAATAGTGAAAAATTAGCAATAGGAATATAAACTGAGATTTTAAATGTAAAATATAACATTTTATAAAATTTGAAATTTATAAAATTTAAAAAAGCAAAAAAAAAATTAAAAATGAGAAAAAAAGTATTGGACGATGCCAACAACACGCGGTGTTCCCAAGCGGTCCCCCATCTAAGTACTAACCGCGCCCGACGCTGCTTAATTTCGGTGATCGGACGAGAACCGATGTACTCAGCGTGGTATGGTCGTTGGCGAAAGTGGAGTGGCTAGAGAACAAACTTATAGCTGCAGTTTAGAAACAATGAGTGCTGAATTTTAGTGTGTTTAACGTAAGTTTGATTTGCCTTTGCTTGGACCTCATTGGCCACAAAACAGAATAAATGTCTCTGCTAGCATACATGCCAGCGTAAATTTTGTAATGGCAAATAGTGAAAAATTAGCAATAGGAATATAAACTGAGATTTTAAATGTAAAATATAACATTTTATAAAATTTGAAATTTATAAAATTTAAAAAAGCAAAAAAAAAATTAAAAATGAGAAAAAAAGTATTGGACGATGCCAACAACACGCGGTGTTCCCAAGCGGTCCCCCATCTAAGTACTAACCGCGCCCGACGCTGCTTAATTTCGGTGATCGGACGAGAACCGATGTACTCAGCGTGGTATGGTCGTTGGCGAAAGTCGACTGGCTAGAGAACAAACATATAGCTGCAGTTTAGAAACAATGAGTGCTGAATTTTAGTGTGTTTAACGTAAGTTTGATTTGCCTTTGCTTGGACCTCATTGGCCACAAAACAGAATAAATGTCTCTGCTAGCATACATGCCAGCGTAAATTTTGTGATGGCAAATAGTGAAAAATTAGCAATTGGAATATAAACTGAGATTTTAAATGTAAAATATAACATTTTATAAAATTTGAAATTTATAAAATTTAAAAAAGCAAAAAAAAAATTAAAAATGAGAAAAAAAGTATTGGACGATGCAACAACACGCGGTGTTCCCAAGCGGTCCCCCATCTAAGTACTAACCGCGCCCGACGCTGCTTAATTTCGGTGATCGGACGAGAACCGATGTACTCAGCGTGGTATGGTCGTTGGCGAGAGTGGAGTGGCTAGAGAACAAACATATAGCTGCAGTTTAGAAACAATGAGTGCTGAATTTTAGTGTGTTTAACGTAAGTTTGATTTGCCTTTGCTTGGACCTCATTGGCCACAAAACAGAATAAATGTCTCTGCTAGCATACATGCCAGCGTAAATTTTGTGATGGCAAATAGTGAAAAATTAGCAATAGGAATATAAACTGAGATTTTAAATGTAAAATATAACATTTTATAAAATTTGAAATTTATAAAATTTAAAAAAGCAAAAAAAAAATTAAAAATGAGAAAAAAGTTTTGGACGATGCCAACAACACGCGGTGTTCCCAAGCGGTCCCCCATCTAAGTACTAACCGCGCCCGACGCTGCTTAATTTCGGTGATCGGACGAGAACCGATGTACTCAGCGTGGTATGGTCGTTGGCGAAAGTCGACTGGCTAGAGAACAAACATATAGCTGCAGTTTAGAAACAATGAGTGCTGAATTTTAGTGTGTTTAACGTAAGTTTGATTTGCCTTTGCTTGGACCTCATTGGCCACAAAACAGAATAAATGTCTCTGCTAGCATACATGCCAGCGTAAATTTTGTGATGGCAAATAGTGAAAAATTAGCAATTGGAATATAAACTGAGATTTTAAATGTAAAATATAACATTTTATAAAATTTGAAATTTATAAAATTTAAAAAAGCAAAAAAAAAATTAAAAATGAGAAAAAAAGTATTGGACGATGCCAACAACACGCGGTGTTCCCAAGCGGTCCCCCATATAAGTACTAACCGCGCCCGACGCTGCTTAATTTCGGTGATCGGACGAGAACCGATGTACTCAGCGTGGTATGGTCGTTGGCGAAAGTCGACTGGCTAGAGAACAAACATATAGCTGCAGTTTAGAAACAATGAGTGCTGAATTTTAGTGTGTTTAACGTAAGTTTGATTTGCCTTTGCTTGGACCTCATTGGCCACAAAACAGAATAAATGTCTCTGCTAGCATACATGCCAGCGTAAATTTTGTGATGGCAAATAGTGAAAAATTAGCAATTGGAATATAAACTGAGATTTTAAATGTAAAATATAACATTTTATAAAATTTGAAATTTATAAAATTTAAAAAAGCAAAAAAAAAATTAAAAATGAGAAAAAAAGTATTGGACGACGCCAACAACACGCGGTGTTCCCAAGCGGTCCCCCATCTAAGTACTAACCGCGCCCGACGCTGCTTAATTTCGGTGATCGGACGAGAACCGATGTACTCAGCGTGGTATGGTCGTTGGCGAAAGTGGAGTGGCTAGAGAACAAACATATAGCTGCAGTTT